AAAGAAGTGAAACAACAACAAAAAAAAAAGGAAAGTATTACTGCAGTTGCATAATGCGCCGTGTTTGGATAGCTCTTTAAGTTTCAAATAGATTTTCAGTAAGCAAATATAGTTGGTGATGTCTCCGACTATAAGAATTGATAACATTTATATTTTTTAGCAAAGGGGTTGAAAACTCCAGAGAATACACTCGATGATAACTGAGAGCACAAATTTGGTTGGTCAGTCTAACATAAGATCAGTTCACAGTATCTAATGAAAAGAATTCCAGATGGGGTTCACAAGGTGCCATAATAAACCACATGGCCTCACATTTTGGAAAAAAGAGAACATACATTTTCCTTCTTTTGACTGGCATCGAGGAGAGTAAGGATATGACCTCAGACCGTGGTTGTTATTTGAACCCACAATATCAAAGTAAATGTTCTGTTTCCGTTCCTGTTCTCTTGCGTAGGATTCACAGACACAAACTCAATGTACCAACAAATGTTTTCTCCAACTAAAATGACAATGTTGAATTTGGAGGACACGCAGTCTCATAAAATCTTACACCACAAGGAAGCATGAAATTGAAAGAAATAAAATGGAGCTGATCTTATCTTTATAGCATCTCTTTATTATGATGTCACATTTGAGCAAAGTGCATGTGGAAACAAAGCCTAGATATTTACCCTTTGGTGTCAAGTAATGGGTTTATTTATTTATTAACAAAAACTGTCATTTAAAAATACAAAATAAAAGCACCACACCTTCCATTTCTAGTCCAGTTCTGTTTCAGTGGAGTATACACTGCCAGTCCCTCAGATTCACAGAGGATGAGGGTCTTGCCAGAAAACACTTTCCCTTGTCAAAAATCTCTAAAGGAGAAATGTATCATTAATAAATCAGTGATACAGCATAGGCCCAAATGTATGTATGTGTGTGTGTGAATGCATAAAAAGTGTCATGAGAACAACAAACGTACACAACCGAGAATACACTTATTGTTTCCCCCTAATATTATCCTTCAGTGACATCCACAGCTGCTCTTCCACATTATTAACTGAACATTAGTCATTAAAGTAATGGGTTGTTCTCTTTGTCTGGATTAATGCTAATCTGACTTTTCCGGCTCAGACTCAGATGTGTGATCACGCTTCGGTCACTCAGGTTTTTGTGGCACTGCATCAACCAATTATTTTCTCCATTAAATCTAATAATGCTCCCACTGTTTATATAATTTTTGGCATGATGATGGGACTTGTGCAGTACTGTCACTGTACTCTGAGATAAAACAGCCAGAAGGGCCAGATGTACAGTCGACCTCTGACACCTGACAGGTGTGCAAATTGTATTTGTTTTATTAGAGAACTGAAAATAAACAGAAGCAGATGTTACTACCTGCACCCAAACAAGGGTTGAAGTCATCACCTGAAGTGTTGACTTTGAGAGCATTTGAGAGCCTTCACTTACAGCCCTTTCTAAACAAAGTCCCAAAGCCCCTAATAATATCAAATGAAGGCTTGAAGTCATCACTTTAACCCTATATTCATCGTTTCATTTCAAATTCATTGTGGTGTGCTTGAGCCAACGCACACGCATACCACAGTGGGTCGAGCTCCCGTCTCTGATAAACAATCCACATCAAATCCAGCTATCGCCTGAAGAATAAGCAGGAGGTGACACCCCGGCTGTACTGCACCTCTAATCGGGGAAGCAGCGATGTCTGATGCTATTTGTGGTGGATGTTATCAGTGTCTTTCCCATCTTTTCTGCCCGTCCCTGGTTCTCTGACATGCTGGTTGCACTGATAAGCACAAGTGTGAGACACTCTCTGCACTGGGTAATCTGTTGGGAATGAAGCTACTGGCTCTTCTGTGCCAGCCAGGGGCACATTGGTAGGATAATGGAAGAGAGGTTGTCAGAGGGACAAACAGCAAGAGACTCTGTTTGGATTCGTGGCCCTCAGAGAGCACCGAGATGTCTGGAACTGTCAGGGTTGGCAGTGGTGTATTTCATTAAATTTCATCAGTTTCTTGACCTGGCTGTTCCCCCCCCCGATATGTGCCGAAGACATGCAGAATATTAGTCAGCTTGTCACCTGATAGGCTCTTTTTTTTTTTTAGGAGGGGATGTTAATGTGAAAGCTCAGGCATATTTTTCTTTCTCTTGAATCACAGCATCTTTGTCCCTACTGCCTCCCCTGTCTCCAGGGTTGCAAGCCATATAGTCTGGAATTATTTATAGTCTTCTTAGTTTCAATTACTCTGCCCTGTTTGTTTTGGTGTAGTCCATTTTCTAAGATTGTGGCCTGTGATAAATAACAAAGCTCCACAGACAATTTCTTTACAACATGTAATTTTCATTTACCCATTTCGTTTGCTAATAACATATGGAGCAAATGATTCATAAGTTGTCTATAACAAACAGATAAAGAAGGAGCTGCAGAAGAAGGGAAGTAAATGAGAGCTGCAGCTGCCCCTTGTGGGAGGGTTCTTCATCAGCCAGTCAATTAAATTCAGTTGTCTTTGTCTTCTTCCAGAGATTGTAAAAGCATCAATACTGCTCGGAAGCTGCACTTTAACTCGGTTTGCTGTGCATTAAATTGTGTGCAAAATGCAAGAAAATTATTCTGGCTTGTTTCATAATTAGAGCAATTTCAGGCATTGACATCTTGACTGGCAAGTAGAAAATTGTTTTCTGTATAGCACACCTCGTGTAACAGTGTAAGAAAAGGATCATGAATGGTAGCAAGACACATGGGCGCTGTAGCTGAAGAAGATCGTCCAATAGAAGTCCAAAGAATATGAATAATATATGGATTTAGTTTTCAGTGTTGACTTTTAGGCTGGTAAATCTAATGAGTAATGCTTGATCTATCTTTATAAATACCACATAAAATAGGCTAATGTCACATAGGGATTTTAAATTGCTATTTGTGAGTTTCTTAATATTAATATATTGATGTTAGGTTACTGTAATTTTATATTGCTAATTTATAAAGGGTTAATAAATAATTTACTAACTATTAATGCAGTCAGTAACAGTTGTGAAGTGAATATCCTGCTGTGAGATTTGCTGTTCAATTTTCCATATGAATCAATAGAAACATTGTCATTTCTGTGCATATAAAGAATGTTGCACTGAAAATTAAAACAAATCAACTGTGCAGATGTGAAGAAGATGATGGAGACACAGGGACAGAAAGGGAGGCTCGGCTGGAGAAGGAAATAAGACCAGTCATATTGTGCATGCAGTGATAAAGGGTAATGAGTTCATACTATTCACAGGTACACAGTGCTCACATATATCACAGCTCCATCAGCTCTGTCTGATTCGTGACAGATTATTGCAGCCCGATCTCACTCAAGATCTCAAGTAGCCGCACAGTGGCAGTGGCTTTGCTTGACGTGTGTATGCTATATGTGTGTTTCTGTGTGTGTGCATGCATCAGACACACCCTGATGTTTTGCAATTGCTCCATGAAGGTGCATTAGCGTGGCCAAGTGAAGGGCAGAAAGTGATCAGTCAGTGAGGGGGAAGAAAGAGAGAAGGAAAGTGGCTGCTCCTCACATCACCATCTCTGAACAAGGCAGGCAGTCTCCGTTAATGAATTTGACTGTCCTGTGCTAATGAATGGAGTCTAGAGAGGGGCAAAGGGAAATGAGGGGAGTAGAGGGATGTCAAACTACATGAACGATGAAGTAGCTCATATCAGGGCCTATAATACAGAGACCTATTAGTTCTCCTGTCTCTGCTGGCAACGGGCATAATGAGGCAGTCTCCAAAGACCAAACTGATGCCTTCTACCTCACATTCCAAGGATGAAGATTGAGCTAATTGTGCAGTTGTACAATAGGCTGTAGTAACAAGCAGGAGTCTTGTTTGCTCTAACTTTACAGTACAATGACCAAACTCAGACTTGGCATAATGTTAGACCATTGTAAGAATTGTTTGCTAAAGTATCTTTCAAAATCCAATTCTAGAAAATCCATCCATCAGTTCTCTATCACAATGCAGTCTCTCTTTTTTGTGTAAATGTTAACTGTTGGTGCATTAGTGCTGGTCAGTAGATCAGATTTTGCTGCTGCAGTAGTTTGCACTGTTGATGATGAAAGAGAGACAAGCGTGAACTGCATCATGCTTGCAGACCTGGATCAGGACTGGATCATTTGCTTGGATCAGGACATTCATGTGGACTAGTAACTTATTTCTATGATTTCTGGTAATTGTAAGATATAAAGACACATTGCACATGCACTGTTGTTCCAGTATTCAGATGATTCTTTCCCAGCTCATCCTAGCAGTGACGACTCACCAGACAGTTCCTACCTTGTGTCACATCCTTTCTGCACATATGATGACCCAGTAGCGCCGAAGTGTTCTAATTTTATCCATCAAATAGGATTATTGTTTGTTTGTTTTTTTGCGTGCTACCTAATTATGTAAAGACTTGTCTGCAGTTCCCCTCAGGCTGTTGGGTCTTGATGTGTGATCTTGTGCCTTTGCCCAAACATGATTTATTCTCTGAGAAGAGAAGATTTGAATCACTTTCACTGAAACCAGTCAGCCTACTGGGAAAAAAAAAGTTAGTGATCTTGCTTACTTTGTGATGTTACTAAGCCAAGCCAACAATCATACAAACACTGCAAAAGAGCCACAACAATAGAATTTCCAGGCATCTTATGTTCAACCTTATAACTTCAAGAGTTGATTTCCTACTGTAGATGGAAGGAGCCCAATAACCCTGTCCACCACCCTCAAGTCTGAGGCAATTAAATACATATCCCACCTCCTGTGTGATAAATTAGTGTCTACAGATGGAAAAGATGCTGTTTATAACTGTGTGTGTGTGTGTTCAGGGGTTCTCCAGGAAGAAAGCTAGTGTGCAACATACTGTAGATGGCTCCCAGCTATATGTCACCAGTCATTACAGATCCTGCCAAGTCTTCACTATAACTGCAGTGACAGGTCGGTGGAATAAATAAGGCAACTGATAAGACAAAGAAGAAACACTGGACACATTTTAAAAGCATATCTTAATATAAACACTTTATTCAGTGCATTTTTGTGTATACAACAAATAATAAACAACTGGAAGTTATCAGACAAGCCACAATGCCTGCCCGTATCTTGTTTAATCAGATTTAGCCTGGTAGTTTAGAACACATGATCCAACATGGGTTAATACACATAGCCTACATCATGCAGCTCTAGACCAGAATAGTCCTGCTTTCTCCCATGCAACAGACAGGTTCACTTAATACAAGCCACCTCTGGAGGAAACCAAGAAAAGAAAGCCTCTCAAAAGCATGTACCACAAAGAAGTTATGTAGCTGAAGGGAGGAGTACATAGCCCACAAAAAGGGTCCCTTTTTGTCCACAACTGTGTTTGTACATGCCCTGTGCAAGAAAGGGAAGATGTTCATTTTTCACTTTTACAAATATGACATCTCCTATAAAATACTAAGCCACCTAAAAGTCCACAGTATTCCTTTTTTTTTAAATAGAAAATATCATCACCACAATAAGTTACTCAAACACATGACAAACATCCTGGGAAGGGGCTTGCACCATGTTCATATGGTGACCTGTTTCAGTCAATAGACATCGACAAAAAAGGGTGGCAAGGGTTTGAAGTATGACACAAACACAGAGGAAAGAAACGGGCCACAAGGACAAGGGATGGAGACATTGTAAACACTGGCAACAGAAGGGAATGGGGACACTGAGTAATCATTTCATACCTTTTGTCATCGAGCATATCGGCGAAAAGCACAACATCAAGCCCACTGCCACGGTTCCAAAGTGTTCAAAATCACTTGCTTTGTCCATTGAATCTCCTTATTCCCACAAAACCTCTCCTTTCTTTCAGAAAAAAAAATGTACAATGGAAAAAAAAAATCCAGCTTTGCCTATGTACTGACTTGGTTTTCAGCGGCTTAAAGTTCCTTCATTCTGTCTTTGGTTTGCTGGAACACTTTTCAATGATGAAACAAACCAAAATACAAATTCTGAACAATGGTGAGGGAAGAGAACAATAGGGCACAGAAACAAAACCAGTCATCAAATAAAAAAAGCTCTCAGCTAATTCAGAAAATTAGCAAGAAAAAAAAACTGCAGCTGTGGCATTGCTGAAAAGAAAAACAACTGCAAGAGAGCCATGCTGTCCCTTATATTTCAGGTCAGCTAAACACAGGCTTCATTTTCCCATGCTAGAGAGCTCAGTCTCTGAGCGTGTGCACTAGGATGCAGGAAAGCTACCATCTGGCTGGCCACAGACCCAGCAGCACTAGGCAGTGCCACGGCGGGGAGTTTCTAGGCTTTGTATTGACAGAAGCATGGATGAGACAGAGACCAGGGCTTGTCTACCACTGCAGCCTTGTAGACCAGCACCATTACTGGTTGCCCTGAACACCTACACGTCCAAATTCCTGCCCGTCTGATACTGTTTATGCACGAGTACTTGGTGTGACCTAAGAAAAATAAAATGAGATAAAGATGAGCTAAGGTAATAAATAAGTCTCAAGGCTAAAGAAAAATGTTAAATATGTTTAATGGTTTGTATCATTAAGTTTCTTAATTGTGATTTTTTTTTTTTGGAGACAGAAACAATGATTGACCAGGATGGCGCCTAACTGTTTTTATTGATGGTGTCTGGGTGTTTGTGTGTGGTTTGTTGTCGTAGCTAGTCTTGGATTCACGCTCGGCTGGAGGTAAGGTCTTGTGGTTTAGCCCCAGGGCCAGGGTTTTGGCTACCGGGCTACGTCGACTCATGCTGGCTCACCACTTTGCCTCCATTGAGCACAGCCGAGGCACTCCGACTTTTGGTGGGAGTACCGCTGCCAGAGCGGGAGAACTCTGTCAAATCATGGAGGGACGGTTCTCTGTACATTGCCACTGTGGAAACACAAGACAAGTGTGATTCAGACAAGCTCATAAAAAACAAAAAACAAAAAACAACAGACTTGTAGTACAGTCACAGTGGGGAGAAAAAAACTTTTTAGTGGGACTACTCTCAGAATAGGTGCTGTGATGGTGTAACACGACTAAACTGCTGAATCAAGAGATCACAGCAGAGCAGGCTGGTACTGAAGTAAAAAAAATAAATCTTCACAGCATGACATTATAAATTCAGGAGTTGCTAGCGCTTAAGCTTTGCTGTGTACGCAACACTGGACCAATCTGCATCTCAGCAGTAGCTTTTCAGATGAAATATCAGTAATCTGAGGTTCACAGTCTTTGGTTTCAGGATGGTGTTAACCTCCTTCTGCCTAGAATGCTATTTGATGATCATTCCTGAGGGAGTCTGTGGCTGAAACAGCTAACACAGTCCTTCTACACTTCACTTAGCCCAGCATTTTTTGTTACAGCAGCAATCTAGAGACCATCCTAAATGTTAATCAATGGCAGGGTTTCACTGGGAAACTGATGATTGGTGCTAGTCGTGATAGTGATATTATGCTTACAATGGTGGGCGACTGACCTCAGGGCTACGGTATCACCTCAACACCACTGCCCCTATTCATTTTGAACCAATCTTCAGTAGCAACTCTCCATCTGGTCATTTTTTACGTTCCTTTATACAAATCTCCTTGTGTTTCAGTGATAGATGCTACTATAGACTTAGTATGCTTTGTCTTGCACCGAAACTTTCTGGAAGAATTGTAAGAGGAATTTTCTGTTAGGCTGTAAATGACATGAGCTAAACTTGCATTATCCAGACGAAGAGAGAATGAGAGGCTGTGGGCCGAGGCTCACAGACTGGAACCAGAAGAGTAGTGAGTAATGGCTGGAGGAAATGCCACTGCCAGTGCAGAGAGAGATTCTTAATTGGCACCCTGTAACACCACTGCCTCTGAATTTTTATGAGCTGCTGGAACAAATTCTGTCTCACTTTCCCTTGCAAAGTTCATTCCAACTACTAGCTGCATTTGGAGTTTAAATTATGTAAAACATTTAGTAAATATTGTGCATTACTGGATCATTTAATGTCTGTGCAAAAGATGCAGAATGTCTCACATCTTTGGATATCTCTTTGAGCGTGCTTCAATGCATAAAAAAATTCTATGTAAGACAGTTTACAAGAATCACTGCCCTCAGCTGCCTTTTGGTAATCTCCTAGAATTACTGTCTCATCTGGTCTGTCTTGCCATGTAATTTTCTCTTTCTTTTTCTCAGTATTTCCTCTGAGAATTAAGCAAGGCCATTGCTCTGGCTATTGCTCTTAAGTGTGTTTGAGACCCCATGGATGGCCCATTAAATGAAAGTACAAAGTCATTATAGTGATCTCAGAAGGCAAACATGGATTCTTAATAAGGCGATGGCTGGACAAGCCCTACCAAAAACCCAAGAATAGGTACCATCGCATTTGAAAATATAAGAAAGAAAGAATTTAACTACAAACTCAAATATCCAGCAGTGAAATCAGCTTTGCTGTCTTTGGTATGAAGAGGATATTTAATCTTTTAAATAAAGTTTTGTGGCTTGGTCTCAATCTGAAATGAAAAACATTGCAACGATCTACATTGTGCTTCTCTCCAGAGGATATTTGCCTAAATTCAGCCTTACCACAAATTATAGCTATTTTCCAAACCAAACATTTCTATGTTACTTCAAGTCAAAATTGTAGCACTAATTGTCGATAAAGAGAAATCAGTGTGTGATTCATAAAACTAAAAGGTTAGAATAGGTTTATTACTTTCTATCTTAGACATCAGACTGGAATCTGGATCGGCCCTGTCCATCGGATATCTGATGAGTGAATGACGTCGATATAAGGCCCAATACCAATATGGGATCAGATCAGGCCCATCGTAGTTACCTGGGACACTATTCTTAAATCCCAACTTATCATACCATGCACATAACAGACAGTTTTTCTCCACTGTGACCTTAATGCAAAGCATTCCTGTGTCTTAGCTTCATCCAAACTGTACTCAACTACAAAATCTGTCCTCTTTTTGTCAGAATGTTTTCTACTGCAAGCCTGTCTTTTTTTTTTTACTGAGAGAAAAAAAGAATAAAAAATCTCTTTTTATCCCACTAGAGTGAGCACAGACTCTTTCTCTGTCTCCTTTCTGTTGACAGGTAAGTGTGTCTTGTTGAAGATGAAAGGACTGTGGCCTTTTCAACAGAGAAAACAGAGCCATTTCTCCCTCTCTCCTCCATGTTATCTCTGTTTGTCACTCTACAATCCTTTTCAGACATGTGCTGCAAACCTGAAATGATCTAGACATTACCTGGGGGGACTGTATGAGAACACAAATGTCTGACTCAGTTGGACTGGACATTAAATTGACTCTACCCTGCCATCTCCCTGCTACAGTACAAAGTCTGTGTAATGTCTGATTGAGTCCAAGTGTGAATAGGGCAGCTTACTGTCTGGAGAATTGACACTGAGCTAGTGGGAGGGCATGTAGAGAGCAGCTCTTTAGTAGAAGAATATCCACATGGACTGAACGTATTAAGAAAATGGGAACATTTAATCAGAGAAAAGCCAGTTATTCTCAGGGAACCTCTTTTATCATAAAAATCAACCTCTGCCCCAACTAAAAAAGTGATGTTGCTCAGTAACTAGGGTTGTCAGTTAACGTGATAAGTTAATGCCAATTCCTTTTAACACCACTTATTAACTTTATTGCAATAATACGCTTTCGTTGTTCTTTGTTAGAATTGCTTGTCAGGTGGTCTTTTTCCGGAATAGCCTTGGAAACCCCATCCACCCACATCTTTCTGACATTGGAATATCGGGTCCAAATTTCTGGCAATTTTTCAAAATCAGTAATCAAACATTTGCACCCACTTTACACTGCGTATAGCCAGCTGTGTGGAGGTGAGACCACATGCAGAATTCAGATTTCTCTGCATCATTCCCGTGTTGAAATACAGCATCTCCCCCGTCTTCATGAAGGCTGGCTTTTCACCCAACCTTTAAGTATAGCTGGTTGAAACTACTATAAACTATGATGTGGTTGTTTGTCAACTAGTTCTAATCAAGCATTACCTAACCCTTAAATTTGAACAATAAAATGTGAAAGAGAATCTGGGCTTGTTTACCTTTCAGGGGTTTGGGAAGGAAGTGAGCTGCTGTCTTGTTCTTCTTGACATGGTTCCCCTTCATGATTTCTCCTTCCTTGTTCAGACCGAGGTACCAGCCTCTGCCCGACTGCTGCTGTCGGTATATCATGGAGGAGTATGTCACATAATAATTCTCGAACACTGACTCCTTGAATTTGCACTCCGGTGTAAAGTGTTCCTGCGGGATGAAGGAGAGGTAGATACAGTGTGCAGTAGTTGCTGGACAGTAATTGACAAGGTCTCAGGAGTCTTTGACATCCTGTTATGAGGAGAAGCAGCTGAAATACAATAGTTAATTACTTGTGAATGCAGCTTAATAATGGTTCATTGCACTACATATCCAACACTCTAGGGCACAAAAAAGAGTGAAAGAGCTACCTCAGGGCTGAACTCCTGCTTTAAAGTTTCTGTCTCTTGAGAATCTTCTAAATTTATTCAATCCATTAACTGCAGTGAATAATATAACACTTTATAGAATAGATAACAGTGATATGATAGAGAATATTATAAATAAAACATACAGGCAAGATGAAGAGTACAGTATATTCTAATTTTGCTTCTATCTCTTAATTATGTATGGGCAGTTCATTATTGTCTGCTGTAGATTGGACTAGATAGTTTATTACCATTTGACTTAATATTCTATGTATTAAGCTTGAAATGATTTCACAAGGTAGATTTATAGGCAGTTATTTGTGTGCACTTGGGTAGGGCATGCAAGGTAGGCTGTTTGTTTACCTGTGTTTTTATGTTATTCAGCTC